TTAGCTGCTGTACTACACATGGAGTTTGAGGTATGCATAAAAACGTTTTGTTTGCTACTCTAGAATTAGGAAGTGTGGCTGTTATGGCCTCACATTCTTAAATGTACGCGGCAGTGCACATTTGTACCTTATTTATTGTGATCGTTGTTACAAGACCCCTTGAATATGTAGCATAAACGTGTGTTACTCCCATTTTCTTTCTCTGGATCTCGAGGAAGGGCCAACTACTTTGCGACCCTCACTAATCAACCGCTCTTACTTATCTATTGATTGTAATTTGTTTCTAAAACAGGGTATGCTTAGTTTCAAGAATACATACTTTGAGCCTCGATATATTTTGATTGTTCCTATTAATCGCCAGGTAATACCAMATATACTTTTCTTTCTAAAAACGTTGTTCTTCTCACTAGATAATTATCTTAATTATCTAATTAAGTCTTGCTTCGTTCAGCGCCCGTACTAGAATAGAAATCTTTAAAAGCCCTGAAACKTATTGAATGCGCGATTGTAGAAGGACTTGAAAAACCGAGAACTATCGATTTTACAAAGGAAAACCGCATTCGTAATAAAATTCAAGTCAGTTTTCTTCATCCTAATGTATTAATTAAAAGCTCTTTTATTTTGTGATAAAATTGTAGCGCATAGCCACTCACTGTTTACTCATGTTTTGTTTCTTATTTCGTATTTTTGTCTTTAGTTTCACCAGGAAAGAATGACTGATAGAGGCTATTATACTGACTCACAAATACAACATTCATTGGACCGTGTGGAACTTTATTTGTCAAAGCATAGAGATTGTCCTGGTTTCTTTGATATGGCCATAAATTCCGGTAAGKCTTGTTCACTTCATCAGTTAACCTATAGAATCATGATAGCGAACCATGTGATATGGAAGTTAATGCATCGTAAACAAAATTAGTTCGCGGTMGAAAGAAATCTTGTGTTTGTTCATTTTTGATATTTTGGATTGTTGAAATGTTGTTCATTTAATTCCTGCTTTTTCCCTTCTTTTCCAACAGTCTTTCGTTCATACCATTTCCTTCGTAATTTTGCATTTATTAGAGAGGTTTAGCATGACGTTCACGGCAAACGCCAAACGGCAGAAAAGATCACGTGACCAGCTTTTTTGAGTTTAACGTTGCAGTTTCAACGCGAGAGCGGGTTATTTTGAGGTTTCCATAATTGTGAAAAGCTGCTCTTTCAAATGACTACCAAAAGCACAAGGTCGGGCACGAAATTCTTAGGTCATTGGTTCAGCTCTGCCGTTAGCCGTTTGCCGTTAACGTGATGCTAAAATTGTATTCAGTGAACTCAAAGACTCTTCTTGCTTTTCTTAACCCAGTCTCAACACAATCCATTTTTTTCCAGATTATCTAAGTGATGCCTATAAGCGACTAAAGCGTTTGATCGTTGAATACCTTGGAATGTCCCCTCCCCCTAGTACCGAGATGCATCAGTACAGCACCAGTGAGGGGTCACTCTACACCGAGGACGATTCCTAYCATGTCGGTCTGAAGTCTGGTACTAGCAATACGAGTATGACACTACCATTTAGGACCTGGTCTAGACCTTCAGCTTCATCAAATGCTAAAAAGACATCGAATGACACGGAGAAGACTCCAGTGGTAAACATTTACTTACAAAGACAATGTTTGTTTTACAGTTCCCAGCGCCATCTTGAAAGTTACCATATAAGGAAGGGTCTGCTTGAGCTTGCTGCTCAGTTACTGACTTGGTTCCTGGACATCCAAAATCGGTCACATATACTTAAAAGGCGTCATGTTCAACACGCGCTCACACAGGATTTCTCTGATCGAGTTCAAGGTCTTTACAGGATATAGACTCCTTTACTGACGCAGTGACCGATTTTTTCCTGGGAACTAGTGTAAAGCCACTATTTGATTTTCAATTGTCTTCTTCACGGTTCCCTGCGCCATCTTGAAAGGTAGCCGTGCCTTGTCATCGAAGCGAGACAACCATTGAGCGTGTAATGATAGACACCTCTGAATAACTGTATGTAGGTGTGAAAGAAGGTTTCTATCATTACAAGCTCAGTGGTCGTCTTGCTTCAATGCAAAGGCACGGCTACCTTTTAAAGGGACATGGTCCACTAGCATGCAATGCGGTCGTGTTTTAGATTTTTCATATATACCGGTTTAACGGTCGAATCTTAAAGCATCTCCATTCATATAGGATAAAGGAACAATAAAGAGTAGATTTTTGCTTATATWACGATGTATTTCTATTTTCAAACATAAACAAAAGCTCGAAAGGGATGCTGGTGGACCATGTCCCTTTAAGATGGCGCAGGGAGAACCGTGAAGAAGACTATTMTGAATTCTCATGCTGTTTTTCTTTTGTAGGAGCGGTTGTCATTTGTGCGTCGACAAAACTTGGCCAAGGCTGCTGTGGCTGGAATTCATGTTTTGAGTCATGAGGATTTAAACATGTCAAGGTACATTTATTTATAACATTAWWGRA